GGTTCATCTGCGTGGTGTTCTATCGGTTTTGTGCCCCTTTTGCCCTCCTTTTTTCTCAGTTTCTACTCCTGTCTCCGGATTGTTGTAGTGGATTTTGGTGCTTTTTTTTACTACCTAAACACCACTAGAAAGCGCTCCAAGTTTCCTTATTCTCGTGGGTGCCAGCAACAACAGCAACAACAGCAGCAACAGCAACAACAGCAACAACAGCAACAACAGCAACAACAGCAGCAACAGCAACAACAACAGCAACAACAGCAACAACAGCAACAACAGCAACAACAGCAGCAACAGCAGCAACAACAGCAACAGCAGCAACAGCAGCAACAGCAGCAACAGCAGCAACACACAGCAGCAGCGCCCGCTTTTTTCGCTATCACTCAACAGCAGCAGCCTCCGCTTTTTTTCGCTATCACCTTCAGAGCGCCCTCGCGGGCCTCCTTTCTCATTCGTTCACTTGCTCGCTATCGGCCAGACACGGAGCCACGAACGGGACAGAGAGAGAGAAGAGGAGAAAAAACCACGAACACCAACAAGCCACGACAGACGAGGACAAGCGCAACGCCAGAAAACTCCCAGCGCCCGCGCATTCTTTGGGCCTGTTGTCCGGCGGTCATTCTCATGGCACTGCGCCGGACTTTTTTGGATCTGTGGCGCGGATCTGCTCAGCTTCTTGGCCTTGCAGGTAGGTTCCTTTGGCGGATCTTTCTCTGTCGATTTTCGGGGACTCGATCAGCCTCTCCCCTGATTTCTCTCACAACTTGGGAGCTGCGACGACTCTGACCACATCAAACCAGAAGCATGCACCTAGCGCCCGCCGGCGCGGGGCTGCTCGTTGCTACCGTCTTGGGAGCGGGGTCTTCCCGTTTTTCGCTATCATTTTCGCACGACCCTCGCGGGCCTGCCTCCGTTTTTTTCGCTATCACTTTCGGGGGGCCCCCCTCTTTTCGCTGACGATAATTCGCGGACGACCCTCGCGGGCCTCCGTTTTCCTTTGTCCTTGTTGTTCGCTAAAGTTCAGACACAAGGCCACGACCGAACAGAGAGGGAGAAAAGAAGAAAAAAACCACGAAAACCCGCGCCAGCCATGGCCAACGCGTTGAAGATGGTGCCCGCGGTGATGCGTGTTTCACTGCCCGCCGGCGCCTCTTGGTTGCTTGTTCTCACTCTGGAAACGGGGCCCCCTTTTTTTCGCTATATTTTGCGGACGAACCTCGCGGGCCTCCGCGCTCCTTTGTCCTTGTTCTTCGCTATAGTTCGGACACAAGGCCACGAACGGGACAAAGAGAAAAAAAAGAAGAAAAAAGCCACGAACACCCGCGCCTGCTATGGCCAACGCGTTGAAGATGGTGCCCGTGGTGGTGCGTGTTTCACTGCCCGCCGGCGCCTCTTGTTTGCCTGTTCTTACTATGGGAACGGGCCCCCTTTTTTCGCTAATATTTGCGGACGACCCTCGCTGGCCTCCGTTTTGCTTTGTCCTTGTTGTTCGCTGTGGTTCAGACACGAGGCCACGAACGGGACAAAGAGACAGAAAAGAAGAAAAAAACCGCGAACACCCGCGCCAGCTATGGCCTACGCGTTGAAAATGGTGCCCGTGGTGGTGCGCGTTTAACTGCCCGCCGCCGCCTCTTGGTTGCTTGTTCTTACTATGGGAATACTGCCCCCCTTTTTTATTCGCTATGATTTGCGGACGACCCTCGCGGGCCTCCGCGTTCCTTTGTTCTTGTTGTTCGCTATGGTTCAGACCCAAGGCCACGAACGGGACAAAGAGAGAGAAAAAAAAATAAGCCACGAACACCCGCGCCAGCTATGGCCAACGCGTTGAAGATGGTGCCCGTGGTGGTGCGCGTTTCACTGCCCGCCGGCGCCTCTTGGTTGCTTGTTCTTACTATGGGGACGGGGCCCCCTTTCTTTCGCTATAATTTGCGGACGACCCTCGCGGGCCTCCGTTTTCCTTTGTTCTTGTTTTTCGCTATAGTTCAGACACAAGGCCACGAACGGGACAAAGAGACGGAAGAGAAGAAAAAAACCGCGGACACCCGCGCCAGCTATGGCCAACGCGTTGAAAATGGTGCCCGTGGTGGTGCGTGTTTAACTGCCCGCCGGCGCCTCCT